ATGACATACTGTCTGAGTGCATACTTTGTGGTATTCTTGTAATAACCTTATTATTATACATCTTTTAATTTCAAGGATACATCATGGGAATGCCGAAATCCAGAAAGTTTAGAACTGAATCAGCGAACATTGCATTGTGGTACTCCCATAATGCATCTTTGGTGAACAATAAAGGTATCTGCTTGGAAAGTAATCTTAATGTCATTACAAGTATGGTGCATTATGGGAGTACCGCCATGTTTGTAGGGCTACAGCAGTCTGAACGCCTTACTCCCCTATCTATATATACTAACACTTGGCCTACTATTCTACATGCCTAATGCAAAAACACAAACACTAATGCTCAACTTTAGTCTTTAGATTTTCATCACTTTCTCATTATCATGATTGCTACTTATAGCTATTCAGGTATCTTCTACTTTTGCATAAATGGACAAATGTTGATTGACAGTCACATTTGCTAATTAGAGTCTCTTATCACATGCATTGATGATTGCTTTGTTTTTTATACTAGGTGAACCACGTACTAGTGCAGATGATCTAGATGTTGGGGGTGTGGTGAGACGACGAAATAAGAAGAGAGATCCTATCATAATGACTGATTACAGAAAGTCACTACCAGCACTAGCAATGAGTGATTCCTCTCTTTTACCTCCGTACTGTAAGTAATAATTAGAACTGTCAATTCATGTCTTGTTGCCTTCATTTTGCATTCTCTGCAGTGTGGATTTGTCAACCAATTAGAGCTTACTTTACTGGAAAGTGATTTCTAAAACAACTTCTGATTGGTTGCTGTTCCTGTGAGATCTGACAGGATTTGTCAGCTATTTAAGAGTTCAAGTTATTGGCCTGTAAAAGTTCTGAATGGTTGCATAGGTAGTTTGGTCAGATGTGGTTGAGGGCGATATCATTCGCATCACATGTATACATGCTACCCATAGCACTTATAATTTACATGCAATATTTGTTGCATTAAACCCTTAGCTGTTAATAGTAGTCTATCCAGTGAAGATTTGAGAGCTGATGCAGAGTCCTTATCAAGTCAAGGATCCTTAGACAGACAGCATTCTGGTGGTCACAGACACGGTATGTCCCTGTAACTTAATTCTGTCTTAGTGTATTGAGTGAGTATCATTCTATTCTAACTGTTAGTTCGTCTTTCTGTATATATGTTTTGTCTTAAGACGTGTCCTACATCACCTGCTTCTAACAACCCTTGCACTCACTGTAGATATTGATGTAAACATTCATCTTGCTAACACTTGCTACACAGACTAAACTCATTATAATTACTCTTTCATCATCATCATCCAACCTATACACACTTAACAACTACAGTACATGAACGTAAGAACAGTTACGAGAAAGCTTTGACAGAAAAGGCTTCCAAGACTTCGAAAGATAGATGCAAGGAGAAAGAGAAGGATTCAGTGAATGAGAAAGATGAGAACACGGCATCTGATGATGATCCCACAATGCAACAGTCATCAGCTGTTACGGAGGGTAGGCCATATTCAAGTCAAGTCACCGTCTTAATGGCCGTTTATGTATTTGTGCATGATTTAAGTTTGCATGGTTTTAGTAGTCATATTATTATGGTTTAAGACCTTACATTCAACTGAAATGCTATTAAGATGAAGTGCTTCCATTTTATTGTTTTTCTAACAGATGATATTGACCAGGTTGAGGTAGGCAGAGTTATAACAGTGAGCATGAGTCACAGATTAGCAAGAATAATGTTACATAGAAGACACAGGATATGTAGGCAGAATAAATATAAAGACAAGATAGGTACAAGGGTGATAAGATATAGATAAGATTAGAAATATTGACATTATTGGTACATTGTGTGTACATAATAAATACATTAACAACATAATAGGTACATACCCAGGTAATAACTAGGTAATGAGATGCCACATGATAGGTAAATAGAAGTCACATTAAAGGTACATTAATATCACATACTAGGCATGGCACATTGAAGCCACGTGATAGGTAAATGGAAGTCACGTTAAAGGTACATTAATATCACACGTTAGGAACATTTAAGCCACATGATAGGCACATTGAAGCCACATGATAGGCACATTGAAGCCACATGATAGGCACATTGAAGCTACATGATAGGCACATTGAAGCCACATGATAGGCACATTGAAGCCACATGATAGGCACATTGAAGCCACATGGATAGCACATGATAGGTACATTGAAGCCATATGGATAGCACATGATAGGTACATTGAAGCCACATGGATAGCACATGATAGGTACATTGAAGCCACATGGATAGCACATGATAGGCACATTGAAGCCACATAATATCACATGATAGGGAACATTGAAGCCACATGATAGGCACATTGAAGCCACATGATGGGCACATTGAAGCCACATGATGGGCACATTGAAACCACATGATGGCACATTGAAGCCACATGATGGGCACATTGAAGCCACATGATGGGCACATTGAAGCCACATGATGGGCACATTGAAGCCACATGATAGGCACATTGAAGCCAAATAATAGGCACATTGAAGCCACATAATAGGCACATTTAAGCCACATGATAAGTACATTTAAGCCACATGGATAGCACATGAAAGGTGCATTGAAACCACATGATAGGTACATTGAAGCCACATGGATAGCACATGATAGGTACATTGAAGCCACATGGATAGCACATGATAGGTACATTGAAGCCACATGGATAGCACATGATAGGTACATTGAAGCCACATGGATAGCACATGATAGGTACATTGAAGCCACATGATAGCACATGATAGGTACATTGAAGCCACATGATAGGTACATAGATTAAACATGATAGGTACATTGAAGCCTCATGGATAGCACATGAATGGTACATTGAAACCACATGATAGGTACTTGGATAGCACATGATAGGCACATTGAAGCCACATGGATAGCACATGAAAGGTATATTGAAGCCACATGATAGGTACTTGGATAGCACATGATAGGCACATTGAAGCCACATGGATAGCACATGATAGGTACATTGAAGCCATATGGATAGCACATGATAGGTACATTGAAGCCTCATGGATAGCACATGAATGGTACATTGAAACCACATGATAGGTACTTGGATAGCACATGATAGGCACATTGAAGCCACATGGATAGCACATGAAAGGTATATTGAAGCCACATGATAGGTACTTGGATAGCACATGATAGGCACATTGAAGCCACATGGATAGCACATGAGAGGTATATTGAAGGTATATGTGCAAGTTTTTAAAAGACACTGTTGAAAGTTAAGTTTAAGGTGAAAAGAAGTCATTGGGGCAAAATTACTGATTTTGAAAAGTGGGAAGTATATTAGCTAGTCATATTGGTGCCATGAAAGCTGCAGTAGAACTACATTTCCAAGTAATAGATGACTTTCACATTGAAATGTTTACCCTCATTATTTTCTCATCCTTTAATACTTTTTTCATAGTTCTGTTTTTTAATTATTATTTCATTTGTGTAATTCTGTTTTCTTTGACTTTTCTTTCTTAGTTTGTGTCATTTTATTTTTTCCATATTATTTGTATTTTATTCATAAAACATTTATAACAAAATAAGTATTGTATTTTGCATGTTTTCTTTTAGTTTATTCTTTTAGTTTTAGTTTAGGTATAAATAAAGAATAAACCACATGCTGATTCCCCATCTGTATGTCCTGCACAGGCCACTCTCCTTTTTATACCATCCGACCACCTTTCAATGATAAGACCGTCTAGCTTGGAACCTCCTATAAACCATCTGCCAATGGCAAAAAGACCCTCTAACTTGAAACCATATTCCAATGGCAAGACCCTCTAACTTGAAACCATATTCCAATGGCAAGAAAGACCCTCTAACTTGAAACCATATTCCAATGGCAAGACCCTCTAACTTGAAACCATATTCCAATGGCAAGACCCTCTAACTTGAAACCATCTACGAATGGCAAGAAAGACCCTCTAACTTGAAACTATATTCCAATGGCAAGACCACCTAACTTGAAACCTCCTATAAAACATCTTCCAATGGAAAGACCCTCTAGCTTGGAACATGCTAATAAAACCATCTACCAATGGCAAGAAAGACCCTCTAACTTGAAACTATATTCCAATGGCAAGACCACCTAACTTGAAACTATATTCCAATGGCAAGACCACCTAACTTGAAACCTCCTATAAAACATCTTCCAATGGAAAGACCCTCTAGCTTCGAATTTCTTATAAATCAGATGTCCAATACAAATATTTCATTTGTTTTTCTACAGACTATTCGTACAATCAAACAAATTTGAGTGCATCAAGATCAAAGAGTGGTTCTACAGATATGCTGCCTGACAAACCTAAGAAAGAAAAGTCAGGCTTACTATCTAGATTCAAAAGTAGATCACGAGAACTATTGGATGATAGTCCTAAACACCAAACAGTTTCCCCTCAAACCTCTCAAGTTGTGTCATTGGAAGAGTTCTTAGAAGAAGTAAGTTGAAAGAATTAATATTACATTGGTTACTTTTTCATCAGACAGTTTCAGTTTGTACAATGAACGCTGGATGTAAACAAATAACATGCATTTATAATTGTCATCTTGTAACCTGGCAACCGTGTACAATAAGATCAATGATTTTTTGTCTATTGGTAAAATACTAATTGCTTCACCATACATATTGTGGTGGAAATATCCTTGGTGATTATGTAGGTAAATTCATTTATGTTTTGACTTTCAGTCCAGATACCGTGAATCAACTGACACAGACTGTGGTCCTGTGTTTGAAGGACCACCAGATGACACGGGGAGGATGCCTTCAAAGAACAGTGATATGGATGGGCAAAATGACTTATCCAGGGATAGATCACCAACTCAACAATCTCATTTAACATCATCATTCAAGTCTGATACTTCACAACAATCTGAATTCGTAGTAAATATAAGCGGTGCTAATTACACATCCACTCCAACATCATCCAGATCAGAATATCCTGCTGGCAGATCTGACAGTTTAAGATCTTTAAAACGTATGGCACCACCACCACCACCACCTCCTTCAAATCAACAAAGGTCTACTGGACCATCACCAGCTGGGAGATCCAGACAGCCAATTGGAGGAAATATTCCAATTATGAAAGATAACTCACCAAGGGACTACAGTGCACCAACTAATAGGACTACTTACGATAGGCCTAAGAACTTGGCTGGTGATGTGGGCAGATACAGAAATGGTACTGACTCTCCTAATGACATGTATTCTAGTACTCAGTCACCAACGGGCAGTACAAGGGACCGCAGACAAGCACCCACCACTGCACCAATGGCAACACCATCACCACAGAATAGCAACATAGCAAGACCACGACCACGACCCCCCAATCGTCCAAATGATGAACAACCTTCTCCAGGAGGTGCCGCTCCAGCTGGTGGCAGTGGTGCAGCTGGTCCCAGGGAGGGCATGACAAAAGAACAGTCAGTATGGTATGAGTATGGATGTGTTTAAATGAGTGATATGCAACAGTGTGGCAATTTTTTTGTATATATTCGCTATATGTATTCAACAATACTTTATATGTTGCTGCTGAGAATTGTAAAAGTACAATGTATTTATATATTAGATTCAAGAATTGAATTATGACTATGTATTAAAATGTGACATGCACTGTGTATTTTGTGCATTTCTCATCAAGTATGATTATGTCTTCTGGCATGTCTATTGCTCATACATGTAGTACATGTATGCGTGTCTGTCTGTGTGTGTGAGTGTGTGCGTTGTCTGCCACTCATAGTACATTTTGGACTGTGATTCATTCTTATTTGTGCATCATGTAGTTTTGAAACACTTGCATGTGTTGAAAGAGATTTGTTTAACATTTGAAACATGTACATCATAACTATACAACCGTACTTTATTGACTATTAATGTATACATTGTTATCATATTAATTACTCAAACTTCATGTCTCACCAGAAGGTTCTCACACAAGTAGTAGCGTTATTAATCCCTGTATGCATGTCTACCAAGTCAGCAGGCCCACATCAATTAAAGCTTGTCTCTATTAATATTTCATATTTAACGTTTGTAACATCATTTTTCATCAGATATGAGAGGAAAGAACCCAATATTGGCATCTGTCATCCAAATGAATAGCATATACATGCTAAATTTTTACTTTAAGTTTTTGGTAGCCAAGTGCATGTTCAAAGTGTGGAATTAATATTTGGTGTGATTTAGACATGAATGGTACTTATCAATGCTCTCATTCTGTTTCTTTATTTCACATACTGTCGACGTTGTTTCAATTATGTGGCATTTTCATTCAATTTACATGACAACTAGTTATATGGGATTATATACTCGGTAGTACCAACTGGAAAATACACCTAAGATACATTGTTTTTTCCTACTCCACTTTCATGGTAACTGCCATTCATCTTATCTATCACCACCACCACACCTTCATGTTATTTTCATATTTTGACTCCTCTATCATTTTCTACATTCAGCTGACAGGTGACAGCGTCCCTGGGACAACATCATTTGCTGATTGGCAGGGTTCTGCTCTACTTGTGTGACATTTTCTTTGGTAGAAGCTGTTTATTTGCAAGACAAAATGTCCTGAACTTTTACTTTCCATTGCATATTTTTTATTTTGTATTTTAACCTGTTTGGTTGTCATGTGAACAGCTCTTGTATTTAAATAACATTTTCATATTTAACACTTTCACAGTTCCAATCATGTCAGAACTATGGAAATGAAATCAGTGTGTAGACTAAGATAAAATACGGATATTTAATTCAAGGCCGAGGCCAAGGCCAAGTCCATAGATAAAAATATGCAATTTATTTTAACAGTTATATAAATATGTACAATCGTCATTTGGTGGTCTTTTTTTTTTAAACAGAAGCTGCCCATGAAATAAAGTTTTGAGAGGCAATTATGTAGCTATAAGATGTGATAAAACACATTAAATTTTTCTGTTCATTACAAGCTGAGATGATACTTTTTCTTAGTACGTAATAGTTGCTGTGATATGATAGCCATCCAGAAATATACCTTCAGAGTTTACATGTGAAATTTTGCTGCAAGTCGCATTTGTAAGTATTTATAATTTTTTTTTTTCAAGCACGAAATGGCATAAAGTTTGAGTATATAGTACTGATTGTAAATATTTCGTAATTAGTATATGTGTCTATTAGACTGGTGTAAAATATCTCCTTGTAGTTATTTAGTACTGTATCTGTAATTGCCATGTCTATGTGGAGATTACTGCAACTTTATCTATGTTGGACAGTATATGTGTATAGCAGTTTTTGTTTTTGCTCCATCTTCTTGATATATTGGATGTAATATAATTGTCTAGTGCGTTGCTGAAATCGTTGTGTGATTGATTATCAGAAACAATCATTTCAAGATCGCTGCTCTCTTTGTCTTTCAGGATTTAATTCTCAATAAATTCACAAATTTAATCATTTAGTCTAGACTTGTTTGTATATAATACAAGACTTTACAGTCTAATAGATGTTGCATGATTGAAGTGTGGGTTCCCCATCCCTTGACAATCATTTTTAATCTTCAAGGAAGAACCCAATTTATTTACAAGGATTATATAATACCTCGTAATGTGACCAATTGTTGAGGCCATAGGCTCTGTAAAATCTATGTTTGTTACCTGTCCCAGTGCAAAGTCGTGTGCGTACTCTCCTGAATTTGCTTTATTAGTATATAACTACTGGTAATGCAATTATTGATTTATATGTACTGTAAAATGACTAATTTTCACTGGGTTTAAATTTCACTGATTTACCATTTCAGGCATATTCAGTGGGTTTTAAATTCACGGTTTCGTCATTTAGATAATGTGTTCAATGCTAAATTTTACATATTCACTGATTTTTAATTTAGCGCATTTTCCAGTCTGCGAAATAAGCTAAATTAAAACCCAGTGAATAATTACCCCCTTTACAGTACTTTTAGAAATACCGATCTAATAGAGTGAATATATGGCATGTATGTACGCATGTTTAAAAGGAAACTGAGCTTAGTGTCTTCAACTTCTGAATATGGTTAATTTTTAGTGATATAATTATTTTTGGTCAGTCTGTAATTCGTACTCGTATTTTGGCAATTACCTACCAGGGTATATTAAACTGTTGGCCTAAACACTGTTGTATGAGAAAAGTGGTACATTTTAACTACTATATATATTACCATAAGGAATTAAGCCATCATGTTATGTTGATTGAAACTAACATTACCTCTGGGTTAGATAAATGATAGTGCCATAACATGTAAAGAGGATTACAAATAGCAAAGTTGTAAGAAGAACAATGAAAAAACAGCCGAGTTGGAGAAGGCTGTCAATGGTAAATATACCGTAAACAATATCGATACAGTAGAACCAAATTGAACTACTATAGGGGAATTTTCTAATAATGTTATACTATTGTAGGAAAGAATCCTAGTGCAAGGATGCCCTCTTCAGGTTATGTAACTAGATGTTTAGAGGGCGCTATATAGCTCAGTGCTGATAAATCAAGATTCCCCAGAAACAGATTAGGTCTTGGGACATGAAGTATGAATAAAATTGTCCAAGGCATTCTCGAGGAACTATTGATATGTTGGTTTTTGGAGCCAAAAAATAATCAGCAGTTGGTCAATAAAACAAAATAAGAAATTAAGGTTGCATATATGTTCACCATTATGATAAACAGAATCAGTTCTGTCATGTTTGAGAAATGATATAGATGCACTGAACATTAGATCCCATTTCACACTTCATTATGATCTTTGAACTGCCACGTTTGAGGATATTATTGGCCTTGACTGCAGTCAATGAGAAAGCACAAGAATACACTGTCACTTATTTTTAAATATAATCTTGTTTAATATACAAAACTACTATTCATTACAGGCCATTATTTACAGTTCACTACAAAAAGATCATATAAACGTCAAGTTGGAACACAATTTAAATCCTTGATACTTAAGAATTTGAAAAAAAATTATTTCAATGAAAATGCCGAAATTAAAATCATCTCTCCATACCAAGAACAGAAAGAAGGATATGGTTTCTAAATGCAGTGCCCTCTAGTGGCAACACAATCTTGTGTTTTCAATAAAGATCTCCAGCGTAGAATGCCTAGGTTTGAATATCCTATTTCTACTGTTTACAATCTAGTATTTTATCATTTTTTTTTTCTAACATTATAAATTTGATATGTTAAAAATATTTTGTATTTATTCGTAAATACTTTCTATTTTTACACATATCGTCAGAACGTACAAAACAGAATAATAAATATATGTACACTGGTAATAAGCATGGCGAGAATGTGATGTATTCAGTAAATGCTGACAGATGGCTGCAACATTACCAAACATAGTTGTATGTATAGCACAGTGTAAATATCTTTGTTCCATAGCAAGTTTTATAACATATAACAATATACACTTTCACTTATAAATAAATAACAAAATAAATAAAATAATGCAAAGTAGAAATACTGAATGGAATGTGATGTTTTTGACCAGCATCTAATGTTACCCGGTATTTTGTTCATCATTTTGAATGCTAATATAGAGACTAATGCTGTCTGTTTACAGTTGATCTATTCACTCTGTTAGAAATACTACCTTGTAAACTACTGTATATCAGAATACATGTATTTAAAAATACAATGCTTTAAATTAGCACATTTCAATGTCGATGGCAAGCATCTATTCTCCAGTTACAGCGCCTTCAGATGATAACGATTGCCGTGGTGATAGGGACGATGTTGGAGTTGACATCTGGGATGAAGTGCGATTTGACCTTTGATCTTTAAGTTTTTTGTCTTTAACATTTTGTTGATACTGATAAGATTCCATACGAACCAGACCACTTTTAGATTTCTGACCTTTTCTTTCACCATCTGAAAATACAACTTGACATTAATACTACTACTACCACCATCATTAATGCACTGAAATCAGCAAAGGTATGTTTAGTTTAGAAAACACCATGGGACAGAGCTGTGTTGTGAGAGCATTGCCCAAAACAACTCCCAGATGTTCCCTGGTATTAGCTACTTGTGCACTGGCTGAAGTACTTGGGAAGGTTGACTTGCGTACCCCCCCCCCCCCATTAACAAATTATTCTCTAATTTCAACCATCTCTTGATACTGACCACTCAGAAGCCAGCACCATGACTGTTTTATGACTTCACTGGTTAAAGAAACTCCAGTCTCTCAAAAACACATTGAAACTTTCAGGCCAGATGCTTTCAAGTTTACAGTGGGAAATTATGGCCAGTAATACCATGGCTTATCTCTTATTAATGCAAGAAATCACCACTATCACTGATTGGCTACTCGTACTGTGAGTCACTTGGCTGGTGTATAAATCTTAAGTATTTATATAAACCAAACTGTTTTCATTCTCATTCAAATCCATGTAGGATTGGCTAGATTAGGCATGTGCATCAATCAGACAGAAATGAGAATTCTATGTCTCTACCGAGCTTATACAATGTATAACTGTGGTTTGAGTTGTATACAACACATCACTGTCACATCAACAAGCAATTGTGAATTTGTAATACAGAATTACTCCTGGATAAAACTTAATATACTCTTACAGAAATTATGTAGATATCAAATCATATACATACTTTCAATTGGAGCTCTGAGGTCAAAGGTGTCTTCATGGGTAACATTACTTGTTGAAGGTCTGGTATCAAGTGAACTTGGTGTATCTGTCAAAAAATAAACACTCCATAATTAGAAAAAGTTGTAAAATGAAAGGCTTGCACACAAAATAATCACACATTAATTATAATTACAGTAGTAGGGGAAAAACAACAACAAAATTTATCACTATGGTATTTATTCTATTGGAGGCACATCTCCATGTTCTTATAATAGAGCTAAACTGGTACATATTACATTATTTGCAGTGTTAATAAAATAGAAGACAACATGTAGTTATGTGGTGGGTGCAATAATATATTATTAAATCAAACTTGTTACAAAATGCAAACACACAAAATATTATGGGCTGTAATGGGCTACTGCCACAATGATATGTGGCTATCTAGTTTCCTTTACTCACCCCCTCTTATTAGTTTCAACTGTGTATTGCTGCAGCCACTACTAGGGCTAGATGAAGATGGGGAGGGTGTTCTTCTATAGTAAGTACATTCAGATGTGGTTCTGTTATTAAATTGTGATTTGGTATAATGAGAGACAACTGGAGCTGAGACTATCCTTGTTTGTGGGCTGGACAGCGGCCTCCAATCTGGTTTGACACCTAGTATACGTGTACAATTGAAGATTAAGTGAAGCAAAGTGAAGGAACACTCCAGAGAATGTCCATTGTTAGTAGCATTGTACAGTGAAATGAAACAGGTATATGTCAAGCACAGAGAAACTTAAAAGAAATGTTAGCATGCAATAGACAAAATCTGGTGCATTTACAGGTTCCACAGTCACCAAGATTTTCAGTAGAAATCCCTGTATCAGATTTCTAAGGTTATCAGGAGAAGTATGTAAAATAGCATAACGAAAGTTATTGCAATAATCTACTGTGTATGTCATAGTATGTTCTATTTTATGAGATAGTAGTATTAGAGAGATTGAGAGTACCACTTTTTATTCTAGACAATATTTTGATTTGGAGAAAAGTATTGTAAGATAATATGTTGTTTACAACTTACGTTCTCTTCTATATGATGTGATTGGTCGATTTACTTTCGATATTTTAGAAGAATAAATATGTACATTGTTTGTTCGTAAGGCTTGTTTCTTTCGTCGATAATCTTCATTTTTTTTACGAATCCACTCTTCATGTTTGCTTCGTCTCATTTCATTGTAATCATCTAAATCTCTGAAATATGAACAAAAATCAATGGTCATGTGACATCATTATTTCATACAGTGGCTCATGCATAGAATGTTTGGTAATTATACCTTTTTACTAGCTTTGTGATATTTGATATTTGGACCCTGGAACCCCAAAAAATTATAATAGCCACTAAATATATATGCAATGACTTTGAAATGAGTAACAGAGACTTTTTACCTTTATCATTACGTAAAGATATGAGTGATGTTATAACAACTGATCTCAATATACCTATTAAAGTTCTAATTTACTTTTTATGAAAACGTTTTATGAAAACAAATCTCAAGGGATGTCAACTTTAATCCAGAACAAAAAACTGTAATGGTTAATTTCTATAACCGTAGATGTCAGTGATAGTGTAAACGACAGTGACGCTTTGTTATGGTCACTCATGAGATTGTGTCTAGACAGGTTTTCAGTCAGTGATTGAATCTGTGTAGACTCAGTGGAGTGGAATTATTACCGTTATCATATATGCAGTTATTTGCGACCTGATTGCATGAAATGACAGCGAAGGTTTATAGTTATAGTGAAGTATATTATCATTGAGAGTGATGACTTTAAGATGACATCATCACACTATTAATTATGTCATCAGAAATGGTTAGGATTGGTTTAATGAACATAATGAGTCATTAAAGTGTAACTTTAGAGGGCAGTGTTTATGTCAGCAAGCTCTAGAATGTATCAAAATAAGACAGTTTTAGTTGGTGATAAATAAGCAGTTTGGAGTTGGGTGGGCTTGGGTCGCAGCTCCACTAGCAGGCAGAAAATGAACTATTGCATACCAAGTAGTTACAGGAATAAACAAGCTTTTATCCTGAGAAAGAAAACCTAATGTAGGTGGAAGTCATTCCATAAGTTTCTGTTCTGTTTTCAGACAGGGAATAGTAAAGTGAGAAAATCAACATCTTTATCTATTGTTTTAGAACTATCATACATGAAGAGATGGAAGACATTGCACTCACTCATACTCGTCATCATTGTATCGTGGTGAATGGTAATCCATTGTCTTTCTTCGTAACCACTGCTCCAACGTTGGTCTTTTTACGCTAACTACTTTACTCAGGTCTTCATCTTGTTTATCATTTTCTTGTTGACTTTCAACACTTATAATTCTTGCATTGGATGACACTCTCTGTTAACATACAAACAATGTTTGAGTTTCCAACACCAGAAAATAATTTTAGGTATAGCCCTAAGATTTGAGTAATGAACATACATCCTATACTTTTAGTTAACACTTTAAGTTCAACACTGACAAATACTCTGACAGCCAAAGATACAAACAAATTGCAGCATGTAAAAAATATTTATTTGACTACAGTTATAGGGAAAGTACAATATCTGGTTTAATGGAAGCAGTAATCTCATATTCTCCCAGTTTTTTCTCTATTGAAATACAAAGTGTTTTTCTACTTTTGAGGCCAAACATAATTATTCCAGAACCCAATACCATGATGATGTACCTTAAAAGTTCTCTCAGCTTTCTCAAGTCCTTCCTGGATTTCTTCTTCATATTTTCTCATGTTTTCGTTGTCTTTTTCCTGCGTACACAATATATAAGTAAAACTAGTAATTCAATCTTTGGATTCAAAAACTACAATTCTAGCAGAATGACATTTCTTCAGTGATATTGATGAGTTTGTGTGATTATAGTTAATGCATACATTGTATGTCAGTAATCTAAACAAATCCTTCCTACACTATGAAATATGTCACATGTCAAAGCTGTATTTATACCTCATTCTTCCTCAGTTCTTCTTGTAATTTTTTTGTATTGATGTCCACCTCGGCTTTAAGTACATTCACTCCACGCATCAATTCACCTTTGTATCGTTCTGCTTCATCTCGGAGTTCATCAAAAGCTGGAAGGTTGCTTCGTATAACTTCATCAAGAAATGACATTTCCCCTATAGAAAATTACAAAATTATAACTGAATATGACACCAAGGTATAATAGTATTAAAACAAAAAAACAAACAAAAAAAACCCACTAGTGTAATAGTTTGTGTTGTAAGGATGATTCAACTCTCAAAGTCTGAATATAAAGGCAACACCATAGTTAGAAACAAGACAAGCACATAGCTGAACGTGCATTGCTCTGTTTCAATTTTTTTTCACAACCATGTACAGTGTGTGATCATGTTAAACACAGGTATTGTTTTAATTCAATTTCAATGTGAACTGAATGTCAGCAAATTGGTTATGTCTCGGTCGGATTTACTTACTATTGTCTGACTGACAAAATACGATTACAAAAAATGTAAAAAGAAACCATTAAAGTCAGTTACAGCATAAACCTGATGTTCACACAAAATTATTGGAAACAAATAATTGCATTACATCAAAATGCTTTTTTCTCAAAATATTGACTGAGTTGTGGAACTGCTACTTCCTTTGTATTCACAATTACTGGTATCATCATCATTACAACAACATTAAATGACAACAACATTTTCGGATCATACCACTAATGAATTTCGGGGGATTCAGAGCTTATTATACAAGTCATTCCAAAAAAAATAATTGGTACATTTGGAGATTGACATTAAAAAAAATAATTATTTTTATGTTTCTAGGCATACAACTCAAAACAAAACCTTCTGATTCAAATGACTGACATACATGAAAATTGAGTCCTATCAGTACCACCCACACTGCTATGAATTTTAGATATAAGCATGAATTCAGTTCAAAGGTTTCTCATTAGAGACCCCTGGGTAAACAAAATTAGGAATGAAAATCATTTCAGAAATGAAAAATCGGCAATAATATCCAAGAAGAACCACATTTCATAGAGAGATATCTATAAATAAGGTATATGAAAAAAACTCACGTTGTAAATAATTATCCCAGTTATCCATCTTTTTTTCGATATCTTTCTCAACATCAATAGGATTTATCCTACCCTGCCGTTGAGAATGGGAATAACCAGACCTTGGTGATCTAGGAGATCTTTCATCATCTCTCCCAGATTCAGATCCTCTGCCATTAGGAACAGCAGGGAAATAAATGTCAACCAGAGTTTTTTGTTTCTCGTTTTTAGACTCCAATCCTTGAGGAAATCTCCTTTTTCCAGGATTTGCCGTAGATGATCTTGGATTCCTCCCACCAACCATTCTTGGACCAGCACTCTTAGTTGTTCTATTGTTATTATTTGCTCTGTTCCAGGAATGAAGGCTATCTCTAGGTGTATTCGGACAGCTCTCTGTTCGTGATTTTCCATATTTACTCCTTGGACTTTCATAATTCCCGCCAATGTAGTCATTATGATGTCCATTTTGGGAATGATATCCAGTAGCACTCTTCCTGACAGCAGGAGTTCTGTCCATCCATGGCTGAGGTGCTAAATAGGGACTTATTTTCTTGTCTTTTTTATCCTCATCTTTTTCTGTGTTTTTAGTGCTATCAATTCGTACATGCTTCTCTGATGTTTTACGACCTACACTAACGTCGTTACCATCAACAATTTCACTAGAATTATCTACTTCATCATTCCTCTTGTCCACATTTGTCTGTAATGCAGTCTTCTGTTTTAAATCCCCTTTTTTAAACTCATCTTTCTGTCCTTGACTTTTTTTTTTCATTTTCTTCTTACCGTTTTTTGTTTCCTTCTGCTCTTTTTCTTGTTGCTCTTTTTCTTTTTCCTTTTCCTCTTCTAGTTTGCGATTCACTAATCTTTTATAGTTCCTGCCTATTATAATTGCAGCGTCATTTGTGATATCAGAACCTTTTCTTGCACCGACAGATTTCAGTAATTCTATGCACTCATTGCTTTCTCTGTCAATGGCGTAGTCCAATGGTGTTACATACTTGTACTACAAATGAACAAAGATGAATATTCATGATACACACATTCACTCAAAACTTAGAATGTCAATGACAATTTTCTTCTTTTTTCACGAAATAAATTCAAGCAAATTATTTTGAAAATTGCAACCAAGACATGTAGGCAATAGGAAACTATGTTAATTTGATCTAAAATTAAAAAGGAAATTACAGAAAAATACATAAAAATGTGGAAAATATTACTTTAAAATATTGGAGGGAAACAATATAGTGCTCAAACTAAAACCTTTAATTTTTAAATATTATGCATCACTTGTGAAGTGCAAAGCTAGACTTAGTTTCATTCAGACTCTGATGCTAGCCGAACATTTCGTCATTACCTTCTCTGATGTCATGATGAAATTGACATTAGCGCCAGCGTCTATCATCATCTTACATAATCCTTCATTATTGGTAGCTGCCGCCTGATGCAGTCCTGTCATACCAATTTTATTGGCAGAGTTAGGATCACAACCAAACTCCAGTAAATATTGCACAACATCTATGGAATGATAATGATTAAATTATTTATTTTCAGCATATGGTTATAGTAGTAGTAAAGATAATTTCACATGTTAATGTTTTAGAACCCCTGTAGGCCATTCATACAATGGGAGTAAAGTAAATTACAATAGGTGGAAATGGTGCCTTTTATGGGCCACATTCATTCCACACAAAGTATTGATTATTCATTAAAACACTGTACACTCACTGTTGTGTAACCATGCGTAACTTACATAAACAGCACTGTTAGTTCATTTCTGGTTCATACTGATAGCACAACAAAAAAGGTACAATAGTGTGGTTTCTTTTTTTGTGCTTTTACTGTAACTACTATAAAAATTTGATGGAGAAGTAACACCAGCTACCTAGAGAACTAGTCCAAAATATTTGTTCAATAAAATTGAAAATAAATTATAATTATTGATTTCAAATGGAATAAACATAATAATCCAAATTTTGAGAATCAAATCACTTAACATACTAAACTCCCCTATTTTAAAAATGGTATGGTCTTCATCCAATGCAAAGCAGTGTAGCAATATCAAAATACGGGGGTGTCAACTTACCGATATGTCCTTTATGAATTGCTTCATGGATAGGATGGTTTCCATTCTTGTTTGCCATGTTTAGTGGTGCTTTTGCAGCCACTAATAGTTTTAAGCAGCTCAGATTACCCTTAGAGGCAGCACAGTGAACAGGACTGAAATACAAATACAAGTTCAGTACGGTAATAGTCTATGGTAATTTTATCCAAAATGGACTGAAATTCAAAATGTTTGGATAACTATTTTTGTGATTTGATTTGAAAAGATGATTACTGTTTTGTGTAGCATTAAAACAAAACAAAAAACAATATAGTTCAATTCACAACAAGAGAATATTTAATGATCACTGTCACTGCTGAATAATACTCCATAGTTTGATTACTTCATGTTTTACATTAATGTCAAAATAAAAACACACACAAAAAAAAAAAAAACATTTTGAAGGGGCTTCTCGCGTCATATTACAAAGCCTTAAAAGTTGTTTTTATGCTCAAGTGCAATATTTGTGTGAGAACATTAATTGTTGAACATTAATCAGTGACGCAAATAACATCACGCTACAGTACGACAATGAAGTCAACAATCCGAAGATAAACCTCAAAAGGGATGACCCCCTATGATGATATGACCCCAATTATTTGGCTACAGTAGACACAATAAAATACAGCAGCAAAAGTTCATCCATTGTGCCAATATAAAGTATTCTCAAATACCAGTGAAATCATACAGATACCTTTCATTATTTGTTATACTGTAAAATGACTAATTTTCACAGGGTTTAAATTTCGTTGATTGAATTACCATTTCAAGCATATTCACTGGGTTTTAAATTCTTGGTTTTATCATTTAGATAATGTGTTCTATGCTAAATTTTACATATTCACTGGGTTTTAATTTAGCGCATTTTCCAGTCAGCAAAATTTAAACCCAGTGAATAATTACCCCTTTACAGTACTATTTACACCAAAAGGCCAACTTGAGCTAAACTACAATATCCATGATCATCTTCCATTTTGAAAGAAAGCATAAAAATTACAGTTATGATGAGATCCAAATACTGACATTTTTAAGCCTTCAGACACCAGTCCAGATACAGACACTCATCACACAAGTAAAACTTGCTGAAAACAAGTCTAATTTGTTTTACATAGTAGTGTACAGTCCACCTGTCCTTGATAGCATTACAGCATACAACAACCGCTGCGCTAGAGTAAATATCCTAACAATACCAACCAAGCATATCGTTAAATCATGTCAAAATTTACCTGCATTTGGTTAGTGCTTGGGTGAAAGTTTTCGTTGCTAGGATAACCAATAACTGATATCAACGCTGCCCAAATAAAGTAGCAATGACTTGAATGAAGGACTGATCGTGGTACAGCCTGTACGTACTCACACACAACTACCAAGACTACATTGTATTGTTAACACAGGTAACATGGGATACTGAGAGGTTGTAAACTTCTATTGTGTTTTACTTGGACAATACACAACAATGAATCATCATGAACTTATTTAATACAGGTAGCTCTGCCTATTTGTTAGCCACTCTTTAGTCCATATGCAGTTAAGTGTAAAACTATACACGTATTGATTGCATAGCTGCTCTATCTTCAGAGATTAGAGATCTGCGTCTAATCAATAGAACATGTGTATTCACATTTTTTTTTATAAGTTTGGAAATTATAAACACTTAGCATTTTTGTTTTAAATATAATATTAAAAAAATTCAACCCAAAATAATCTCATGGAATTTAAGTTTAAAAAAGGGGTAGAAATAGCTGAAATGTGCTGCATGTAATTACAACAAAGATGGAAGGTACAAATAAAAATGTAAAATTAACTAAAAATTAAAATTAGCCTGTTACGAAAAATTTGAATCAAGAATTATGTATGTATCTTTCAGGTCTAGTATTGCTTTATCCTATTTAGTTAAGGGCAATAAAATCATAGACTCTATATAGTCTACAATAAAATCAAGTAATTTTCTTAGAACAAAAAAAGGTTGTTGAGATACAACTGTAACATAAGCAGATTTCAGACAAAAACTAATCAGTCTGCGAATTATCAGAGAGCATCTATTCAGCAAGTTTCATTTTAATCCGATGATTGGTTCTTGAGATATATCAAATAACAGATTACGAATACTTCTACAACAAATCTTAGATAGAAACACAATGTGCTAGCACAAACTTATTTTAAAAAATCCAACAAATCATTTTGAAGAAACTAGAAAGAAACTGAAATGCAGAAAACCGGTAGTACTGTATAAGATCAATTATATTATTGGTGTGCACTTTGTTGAAGATGTCAGAGGTGTGAAAATGCCAATTCTTAATTTCCCTCAAAGTTGAAGCAACCCCTACCTATTATAGAACACTCCAGGAGATGAAATGAACTTACTGACACATAATTAAATTACTGGAGAAACATGATTCGGAACTATTTGGCTGATTAATTTTACACAGTGCTCCATACAGAAAAATAATTACTCATGAATAAGTAACAGTGAATTTCAAGCAGAGATGAATAATTTTTTTGACAATTTATGAATTATTTATAAAACATGTATTCATTCATTCAAGCATTGGCTGACTCACTGTCATGTATATGTTATAGAATAGTGAGTGGTTAAATTGTTTTAACTGTCGTTTGAAATTTATCACATTTAGGAATATTTTATATAAAGAATATGTATGCCTTCATGAGATTCACTGTATACAGGAGTAATTCATAGTAAAAAATCAGTCACAAACAAAATAAATGATGAGACAAGACTTACGTTCGTCCTTTTGCATCCTGCATCGATGTGTCAGCGTGGAATTCCAGTAAAATTGACACACATTTACAGTGACCAAGAGTTATTGAATAGAATAAAGGTGTACAACCATTTTTATCTGGTGGATCCACATTACACTGGCAGTCAATAACAAGAGTCTGTACGCACTGGGCATGGCCACGACTAGCCGCACAGTGCAGGGCTAGCAAAGTAGAAACAAATCAGCAATTAATTACCATATCGAATAATTTACCTGAATTTTAAACTACCATATTATTACAAGCGTATCTCCAATAAAAATGAACATTCACAAATAATTGCATTTATTTTACCATTCAAGTATGACTTTCTTTGACACAGACACATCACCTCTGTCATTTACGTGAGTGCATGCTCTACTAATAGAGCTAATAAAGTAAACCTTGTTTGTTATCTTGGAATGATAAGTAACCCTAATCAAAGGTCAGCATTGAATATGTATCCATGCACATGTGTGAAATGTAAAGAAAGGTAGATACTCTAATATAAATTTGTCTTTGTGTTGATGATCAAATTGAAGATGAACAACAATTCTTGTTACATTGCAAACTCTATCAACAATAACAGCACGAGTTTTTGCCTAAATATGATTTCATTAAAAAAAATCTAATAAACATTCTAAAAAAGCAAAATAAGAGGATATAATTAAATTATGTAAATCCATTCACATCCAAGAAATGATGTTGGACAGATGCACGCACAGACCCAAGTATATATTACATTGCTTTATTTAATTTATTAATTTATTTTTCGTATTTGAATTACGCTTTTGAATTACGTATTTGAATTATGTGTGTTGTGTGACAACAATATCCTAATACTGTGTATTTTATGAAGATATGAATTCGTTTTATAGACTTTTATAATACAGTATATTTATAGATTCTTGCACTTTATTCAGATCCAAAGCAGATGCTTTCATCGACTATAGAATCTATTTGGTATTGCTTCTCACCCATGAGTCTTTGCAGGTTTTTTTCAGTTATTGGCGGATTTACTTCAATGCATCCTAAATATAAAGTTATACGGTTTTTAACCATCATTTGCATTTGGATGAAACATTTATATAAAATAAATTTATACCTCCATGGAATGCACAGTATATGAATACAATATCAATAAAGCTTAATATTACTATTAATATTACATATTTAAAATAGAAAAATAGATGGAAACAATATGATTGATAAAATGTGCCTTACCAGTAAGTTTATCTTTATCTATGGCCTCTACATCAGCACCAGCATTGGCTAACATCTGACATGCTGCACTACTACCTGCACTAGCAGCCCATAGCAACGGTTGCCGACCATTATTATCCATGCAATTGAACGCAGCTTTGTTTGAAATAAGCGACTTCAAGCATCGAAGGCCAATATGTTGAACTTGTGGATCACCACACATCTGAGCAGCATAATGCATTGGATAAGCGTCATGAACGTCGGGTAGCGATGCATTGGCACCATTTTGAATGAGAAATTCAATGAGTTCGCCATGCCCACAAACTAAGTACAAGTAAAAAAAGAAAGATTTATCAGTTTATCAGTGTAATTGGTATGCATAATAAGGGGTAAATATTTTGGCCAGACTCGTTTCGCATTTTGGAATATAAATTGCCAACTTCCTGAGACAAATCTATTTAAAAAGATCAAAAATACATTTTATGTTTTTTAATAGCAGAAATGAAACGATAGTGATATATTTTACAAAGTATCTACTGTATCATAGATGTCACAATTCAATGCACTTACTGGCGATGTCATAGCCAACCATTATCATGTTGTCACAGGTATTGAAGTTTCTAATTCAACTACAAGTATGGTAAAGTAAGTGCTCACCTGTAGCCCAGTGGACTGGAGTGTGTTTCTCATGATCAGTACCATTAATATCTGCATATTTAATTAACACTGAGATTAATTTCTTATTGGCGCCTATGGTTGCTAAGTGTAGTGCTGTATGTCCGTCTCTATCACGAATGTCTGCTATATCATGGTTAGATTGCAGTAACAATACAGCACAGTCAGGTTCCTTGTTTTCAACAGTGTAATGTAAAGCTGTCTTGCCTTTCCTATCAGTACTGGCAATAGGAGCCTGTTATTGTACAAACAGAATAATTATTATTATATTTCAAATTAAAACAATTTTAATTATGATGTCAATCATAAAAGTGCATAAAAACAAAGTAAATTATATTTTGAACCTATGAGGACAGTCACATCTAATGACATAGGATGCCAACAACAAAATTGCCATGACAACATAAAATACAAAGTCAAGATGAGTCAATTTCAAAAATAAAAACAGGTTTCTCATGAGTATAGTCATGATCAATCATTGAACAATATTGGATTCATAATAGTAGTGACAATATTATATTAAACACCCACATTTTAGAGAACAATAATTTTAAAATAATAAAATATTCTTTTATCCTAAAATAATCTTACAGTTATAAAACTTTTAAAATATAATTTACAAGACACTGTAGAATTTTATAACAATACATTTTTTTGTTGTCGAGTATTTTAATACTATTAATCAAGGCATAGCAATTTTGAGTAGATACAAACATTGTATTGTGGCATGTAGTTATTAGCATAGATTAATTACTATGGATTTGGGACATCAACACAAAGTTAAAACAAAATCAGATATTTTGTACCGGTAATATTCAGCAAACTTTACAATAACAGTTTCTGGATTTGATACTGACAAATTAATTCAATTTGTTTAAATTCATGCAGTTGATATTGTTTGCTGTACAATACATGTGACTTCTCAAGTTTCATGTACTAAATAGTTATAATTGCCAAAAATAGATTGACCTTATAAGGTCAGCAGTGTAGTGATATATTCTCCACATAATGCTATTTATGTTCTCTAGTATACACTTCAAACTGAACCTCTAGAAAAGCATGGTGAGCAGGTGACTACATCAAGACTAATTTCATGTTCATACTGTGTTTCATTTCCAAAGCTTAAAAGCAATAATTCACCCTTAATAATGAAACCTGCTGACAGAGGAAATGAAAACGCTACTTAAGTTTTGTATAATGCACACAAAACATCAATATGTAACTTGTAATGTGTATGATCACAGCAGGTGGGAAGCACTTAGTTTGAAGCATGTAGTTAGTAATGAAGTCATTGTCATGTATGAAGTGTAATCACTGCTCCATCTAAAACCCAGTGTGAGTGATATTAAGGAATTATTATTTTATACTGAGAAATGGAAAATAAGGCTGCTAATTGGCCAAATTAAGTTAATATAGAAACAAAATGGTCTAATGTGTGTGCCAAGTATAATTATGATTTGCAGTTTGAAATATCTGTCAATATTTGAAAATATGAACAATAATATGATAATATAAGTTAATTGGTTAAACTATCAACAAGTTAACAATGAAATGAAACAGCAACATTGATACAAAACAGCCATTGGACAACCAATATACAAAACACTCACTACATATGATACATCCTGGTAGATTACATATGTAAATGTTACCAGTCTTAATACAACATTGTAATCTTAATGAATGAACACAATGTAACATGCATAAACCAGCATAGACGCCACAGGAAATTACATAAATTTTGATTTCCAAATCTTTAATTTACACAAATTTCAGGACCCTGCATGGATCCAGGAAAGCCATGGATAAAAGTTGTCATTTTCTGACACAGATTCTGACACATACACATTAGTAATATTCATTCATGCGTTCACATCTTAACAGTGAGAATATTATTAAGATAGCCACAATCATAAGTGTACTGAATGAACATGCCCAATGCCAATATTATACTCTGTATAAAAGCAGGATAAAGTTTTAGAATTAGGGTCTGAGTAACATGATAATTCAAACGGAAACAGCAGTTGATATAATCTGATACACCATAACCTGGAGGAGACGGTCTGAAGTTACCACTGTGTAATCAAAACAGTTGATTCACATGAAGACTTTTATTCAGGTGCATATTGTAATTACTGCAGGGTATTTATTCCAGTATAAGTGACTCTCCAGTAGAGATGCAGAAACACTTCAAATGTTGGGTATGGTGTTACACCTGACATTAGTGATTTGTTCAAACTAACTTACCCCTTCTTTTAATGATAAGAGACACTTGTTGGGTGTTTCCTTTCTGGCATGCTATCATTAATGGTGTTATTCCTCTGTCATTTGCTGCACTTAAAGTACTCATCTTCTTTCGTCTCCAAGGTGATCTATGATTGTTGCTAAGTAATGATAATCATCGCAGATGCAGGAAAGATCAACTACAGTGAGTTTGCTTGCATCAGCAATATCTACTCTGGCTTCATGACTGAAGAGAAAAAAAAAGAAGAGATTTTGAAATAAAGTATGCACACCATGCAAGCCTTTTAGCAATAAAATAT